GATAGGCCGTGACTCGGAACACTCCATATACATTGTGTGAACTTGATTGATTGAATATCACTTCCAACAACGCTGTGTTTCAACAGTATGGTACCACTGTCCTCTACGGAACCTCCGGTACCTGAAAATGTTTTTCACCGGGGGTATTCGTGCACACTCATTTTTGTGGAAATAATACGCGTCGATCGCAGTCCCGCCGTTTTCGGCGTGGAAGGTTTTGGATTTGGACTTCCTTACTCCCCGGTATGAAAGTTTCTGTGATTCGAGTGACCACAACCTTACCCTCGGTACATAGTCTTTCGTCTAGCCATGTCGGCTCTGGCATTTGTAGAATTGTAGAGGCTATTGTCAGAATGGTACAATTACCGTACATGAGTTACATACGTTGGTACCATTCTGACATCATACCGTAGTACAAATGTACGGTAGACTCTACAATTTTGACACATTTGGACCCGGATAAATGTCTCCCGGACGGTACCGCTCGTAGTTGCACCTTGCGGAGCTCCACCACCGACCGGCCGTCTGCCCACCCACCTCATATCGGACGGCGCAGATTGCGATATAGTTCAATCCACGGTAATTTGTGCCTCATCATGCGCGGAGATCTTCTTGGGCAGGTGGGGGCCTCAGATTTCTTTAAAACGTTAGGGGCGGGCTTGCACGCCTCTTCATGAACGCTATGGACAAGCTTGGTGTAGACAACTACATCGATTGGAGTCGCAAGATCAAGTTCTTGTTGATATCCAAAGATCTATGCGACGGGTGATGGATCCAAAAACTCGCGCTACTCATTCAACGAACGCGTTGTCCATCATGGAGCTGAACGTTTTGGACCACCATTTGGGGTCGATTGAGGCGTGCAAGACCACAAGGAGGCTTGGGGTCTCCTTGAGACGACCTACAAGAGCAGATTCAATGCAAGGAAGATGCAGCTCAGGCAAGAGTTGCATTCCCTCATAAAGATGGGTGAGCCTGTGACCAAGTAGTGAGTTGCATGCACGTCAGTATGGCAAAGGAATTCGTTTACGGACTTGACAGCTACCGATTTCGAGCTGAAGCCGGACGAGCTAGCTTGGAGCGTGCTTGCGGGATTGCCGAGCTCGTTCAATACCCTGGGAACAATCCTAGAGGCTTCGGAGGGTGCCTGAAGCTCGGTGGATGCGATTTCACCTAAGCTTTTGGTGCATGAGCAGAGGTTTCAGTTGCCCAAGGAAGAGGGCGGTGGTGGGTCGGACTCCGCTGTGGCTTATGTACCTCAGCGGAAAGGGAGCAAGGAGAAGAGCCACGGCAAGGATGAGATTCGGGGCAAGGGGCTTGAGTGCTACAATTGCGGTGAGTCACATTGTTGAAAGCTGTCGTCTTGAAGCGCGCCTTTCAAGTGCACAATTGCCAGGAATGAGTGTCCATCACAAGTCAAGAGTCCAAATCAAGTCCAATCACGTAGCTAGGTCTACTCTAGCTTATGTGGAGTTCTTTATTAGCCTAGGTGGTCCCTTTTTCAAATCGACGGCCTAGCTTCAACTACTCCAACAATTACCATCGGACGATCGACACGACCTTCTCTTAATCTGTCCTTAATCTCGATGGTCTCGTATGCGTTCATCTTAATCTGATCTAAGTCTACGTGCTCTTTACGTTGGTTGTCTTAATCTCGATTGATCTTAATCTTAACCACCTTTAGACGCCAATCTTATAGCACATTAAGATCAATCTCGCTTACATCAAGTCCTTAATCTCACAAGCATTAAGACCTTAATCTCGGCCTCATCCGGTCTTAATCTCATCCACATTAAGACCTTAATCTTGGCCTCATTAAGACCAAACCTATGCATCACTTAATGAACCCACCACACTATAATGTACAGGATATTAGGGTGTTATCAAGACAAATACTCCATAATCTCAACAGAGATTAAGACCAAAGACTCCTTAATTCTAACAGAGATCAGCACCAAGACTCCTTAATTTCAACACTCCCCCACGCACTACATATCCTACGCAACTCCTATCTCCCTTCGGCACTTAGAGAACTTCCCCGGTGTCAGCGCCTTGGTCAAAATGTCCGCCTTCATGTCCTCAGTCCTGCAATATGCGAACTCGATCTCCTTCCGCGCTACCCTCTCGCGCAAAGTGATGAATCACGTCAATGTGCTTCGGCCGCTGTGAGGCAATCGGATGCTTAAGGAGCCGTGGTGCCCCTTGGTTGTCGCAGTAAATCTTGACCCTTCGGAGGTTCAACCCGAGATCTCCTCCGAGCTTGCGGAACCACAACGCCTCCTTCACGGCTTGTCCTGCGCTCATATACTCCGACTCCACCGTCGAAGCCGCCACCGTCGGTTGAAGACGGCTCGACCAACTCACCGCTCTCCTGTACATCAAGAAGACGTACCCCGTTGTAGAACGCCTTGTGTCGACGTCCCTCGCGTAGTCGGCGTCACAAAACGCCTCTAGGACCTCGCCGCTCCCCCCAAAGGTTATTCCGGCTTCCGCGGTCCCCGCCAAGTAGCGCACCACCCGGAGCGCTGCCGTCCGATGTGCCTCCGTCGGTGCGCTTGTGCAGCGCGCCAATGCCCCCACGGCTTGAGCAATGTCGGGCCGTGTGCACACGCTCAAGTAGAGCAAACTCCCAATGAGCTCGCTATAGGGGAACTTCGCCGTGTCAAGCGGCTTCCCCTCCCTCGCTAACTTCTCCCCCGCACCGAGGGGAACCGAGCGCGCCCGTGCGCCCGCCAACCTGTGCCGTCCGAGCAACTCACCCGTTAGCTTCTTTTGCGTCAGCTTTAAGGTGCGCCCCTCCCGGTCGCTCCATCCCAAGGAAGTACGTCGCCTCCCCCAAGTCGCGCACGTCGAACTTCTCCGCCAAGTGCGCCTTCACCTTCGCAATCCGCTCCGCTCCCCGGGCCGCGACGAGAATGTCGTCCACCCACACGATGAGGTAAACCCGCTCCCCGTCCACCACTCCCGAAAAGAGGGCCGCGTCCGCAAAGGACGCCACGAACTCGAGGTTCCCGAGCTTCTCCTTCAAGCGCGTGTGCCACGCACGCGGCGCTTGGCGCAACCCGTACAAGGTGCGCTTGAGGTGGCAAACCATGTTAGGCCCGCCTTGCTCGTACCCTTGCGGTTGTTGCATGTAATCTCCTCCTCGAGCTCACCGTTAAGGAACGCCGTCTTAACGTCCAATTGGTGCGACTCCAAATCGCGCTCCGCGACCACCGCTAGAAGCGCCTGCAAGGTGGTGTGCTTGCTCACGGGGGCATAGACCTCCTCGAAGTCGATCCCTTGCTTTTGCAAGTACCCTTTCGCCACCAAACGAGACTTGTACCGCTCCAGGTTCTCAAGCGCATCCCGCTTAATCTTGTAAACCCACTTCATGGGAACCGGCTTCACCCCCTCCGGTTTTTTTGACTAGTTCCCACGTCCCGTTTTCCAACAAGGACCGCATCTCCTCGTCCATTGACATCCGCCAAAGCTCGCTCTCTTCTCCCCCTACGGCTTCTTGATACGTTTGCGGCTCGGGATGCTCCCCCGACCCCCCTACACCCATCCAAGTCGGGGGGCTCACACGACTAGGGCCGCAAGCACCCCCCTCCTTCCCCGGATCGGAGCCAAGCTCAACGATCGCGGACGGCCCACGCTCATCCACCATGACGTCGCGGGAAGTTAAGATCCTACCATCCCGCTCCCGAAGGACCCGGTAGGATTTCGAGTTGGGCTCGTAGCCCAAGAACACCCCCCTCTCGCTCACCGGCTCCATCTTCTTCCGGTTTCCCTTGGGCACGTGGATGTAGGCCCGCGCCCCAAACACCCGCAAGTGGCTTAGGTTCGGCTTCTCCCCATAGAACATTTCCCACGGGGTCTTGCCGTGCACGCTCGAGGGAACCTGGTTCCAAGTGTAGTTGGCCGTCACCATCGCTTCCGCCCACAATTCCGGCCCCAACCCAGCAAAGCCCGCGCTCTTTCCTCGAGCGTCCGGTTCAACCGCTCCGCCGCCGAACCGTTTTGTTCGGGAGAGTGCCCCGCCGTGGTCCGTTGCACCGTCCCTCTTTTCCCGCGGAGGGCCGTCATTCCCTCATTTACGTACTCCCCGCCCCGGTCCGTTTGCACCGCCTTGACCTTCTTCCCGGATTGCAATCCAAGCGGGAAACACGCTGTCCGTGACCGCCGTAACGTCGCTCTTCCGCTTTCAACGGTTGGAGAGCTTGCTATAGTCGTCGAGAAAAGTGGCCAACTACCTACTCCCCCCCTTTGACGTCACCGGCATGGGCCCGCACACGTCCATGTGCACGAGCTCGAGGGGCTCCGTACTCTCCTTGGAGTCCGACTCCTTGGGGAACGGCTTCCGGGTTTGCTTCCCCATGATGCAAGGCTCGCACACCAAAGTTTTCTCCTCCCGGAACGCCCCCGCTTTCACCCCCACACCCCGGACCAACCCGGGGCCCTCGACCATCTTGGCCAAGCTCTCATAGCCGGCGTGCCCCAACCTCCGGTGCCACAACACCGGGCTCTCGGCTTCCCTCACGAGCAAGCACGTGTCCTCCCACGTTGCCCTCGGTTGGCAAATCACCGACATGCCCTCCGCGTTCTCTTCCGCTCGAAGCATAACTTCTCCGT